CGAACCCTCCTCCTCTTCTTGTCTTTCTTTCCTTAATCAGATTGTTACATATGGAGGAACATGCCCATTACCCTGCTTTATCTTTGCCTGGCAGACTCCTAGCAGTCTGTGTCTGCTCCCACAGGTTTGGCCTTGCCCCACCACAGTTCCACCAAAGCAGAATTAACCCCTCTACAGGTCCCGGGATTCGATTTATTCTTCTCCTCATGGGGACACCCAGGAAAGCTCACCCAAAATTAACTAAACTAAATTTACTAATCACCACCCCCCTGGGCATTTTCAGCCTGAATTTAAACGTCTTTAGTTAGATTAGCTCACTGTGGAATGGAGTAAACTAAAACAAATTAAAGACATTTAAAATCTGAAGGTTTGGTGAGACCTTCTGCAGATCTCATGGCAGATACTAAAGCCGTTACTGCTCACCAGCTCACCACCACTCCTCTGACGTATGTCAACACCTTAAGCTACAGTGCTGAAGCAACTGAAGATGTGAGCGCTGTGTGCGAACACAGGCAGGTTATTTCAAGGAACCTTCCTTGGTGGTTGAACTGCAGTAGCTTTGCGCTGAGAACGAAGTGCCACAACAATAGTATTTGGTGGGTGGCCAGTGAGAAGCAAGGAGGAGGCAGAAGCCACACTGAACAGGGTCCTGGACAAGATCTACTGAAGTTATATCAAACTTCAGTACTGACAATTACCCGTCAGAAGAAACCTCTTCCTGTAGCAGGAACCCACATGTCCCCTTACTGTATCTGTCTGTTAGGAGGACCAGAAAGGTGTGGTCTAAGATGGACCATATGCACTTCTATAGTCACCTCCTGCCCCACATTGTCTGTTGCGGCTGCAGCTCTGTGCTCCCTGGGGATGGGCAGATGACAGCTTGAATGTACAGGGGCCTCAGGCATTGCGGGACACTCTTTGCTCCTGCCACTTGTGCGTGAGGTGATGCACACCGCTGCCTAACTTAGCCGGTGGCAACCCTAGTGGCCTGTGCCCCTGGGCGACTCTCCCAGTTGCTCCCCTCCTCCGACAAACCCATTTCTGGGCACCTGGCCTGCAGTGTGAAACAGCCTTTGTGTGATATTTTGTCAGCTACAAATAATTGAAAAAAGCCTACATAAAGTCCTAATTGTGTCACAGAACAGGCTTTTCAGTCATCCATCTTCCTATTAAACTTGTGAATTTCAGCTACTCAGCCCTGTTGGAGTTATTTTCCCCTTCCCCTCCTTCTTCTTTTAAGCTTCTATTTATATTCTCTCAGTTGTCTCTGCCAGAAGATCTCATGTGGATACATTAGGCCTTTTCAAAAGGAAAGTTGGATTACAGTGATTTTTCTCCCCGTAGGACACAACAGCTTCATCATTCATAACAGAGCAATACACTATAACTTCATTATAGATGGCATGAAGCTGGCCTATTTAAACAGAATACTTAATGATAGTCAGGAAGGCAGGAGAAATTCAGCTCCACTGGTCTTCGTGGGAAAAGGGAAACTGTTTTTTGGTATTTACTGAGGCTGATTGCTTCTTAATTAATTCTCTTTTCATAGAAAAAAAAAAAAAAAAAAAAAAAAGTGGAAGACTCAGCTGACATGGGTGAGATCTGTTACCTGGTAGTTACTTCCACTTTGACAGGTAGTTTGACATACCCTAACATCTAATATTAATAGCAGACATGGGGGCTGGGAAGTAAACTTGGACTCCTCCATAGTACTTTGCCTCCACTGAAACAAATTGCAGTGTGCTGGTGCTCTCCTGTATGGACCACAGGTTCTCGTTCCCTTCCCTTTCCCACTTCAGCAGCGCTGACCTCAGAAGTGTGCTCTGCTTATTGACTTTGGCTGAGTAGAAGTGGTTTAGGCCTAAAGAAAAGCTGTGGACTGAAAAAACCTCCTTTTTGGGAAAATGCCAGAATAAATAGCCTTCTGTGAGCTCACAGTTGACATCAGACCACAGTTTGCGGTGATGATAGGGGAGGCTTAAAAAAATCCCAGTGAAAATGTAGCAAGATGTAAAAATTAATGGTTTCCCATATTTTGGTAAAATTAGTTTTTCTTCTTGCCTGGGTAAGTTTTAGTGATGCTGAAAGGTGCCAAGAGTTCAGCTCTGTCAAGGCAAGTCCTCCACTGACGGCTTGATATTGCACATGGATTTCTTTGTACCAGCTTGGGAGAGATTTTGATCGATATTGGTTTACTGGTAAAATCCGTAAGTGTAGATGAAGTTTCTAATACTTGTTCAGCTGAAAGCCATGATTTCCCATCCGATCCCCTCAAAAACTAGGACCATGGCTAGTTATGTATCAGAAATGTGTATCAGAAACTCTTAGGAAGCTGATAGCCATGTCCTGTGGTGCCTGTGAGTGTTACATGCTGAAATACAGCGTATTGATACCCAATGAGGTCTGCTGGTGTGAGCATCCCCATGTGGAGTTTGGAGGGGAGGGGAACAAAGAATGCTTTTTACTTCTTTAGCTGGTATTGAACACTGTCAAAGGAAAGCTTGAGGGGCTTCTCTGGAGAGGGGAGAGGGTCTGAAGTGGAAAATAAGTATAAGGCAGAAATGGCTGCAGGATGAACAAATGCCCCGGCTGTTGAGCACACTGTCTGGTCAGCGTGTCTCATACTTTGGCCAGAAGAAGGTATTCTATCTGTCGGGGGAAAGAAAACAATTCATGCTATCAGAGCTCTCTGTAATTTGGTCTAGAAGCAGTTTGGACTCAACAACTGAAAAGGAAATGTCAAAGAATAGGAAGCCAAGAGAGTTAATCAAAAAGACATCTGGTCCTGCTGTCCTTAATGGGAAATCCCCCCCTCCTTCAAGCCACCCTCTTCCCAGCCACGCTCTTTTGAAACAGTTAATGTCTGAGAGAATCCAAAACATTGCTGGAATGTATCAGCGATGAAGCTTTTGTATAGCTGAGCAGCTAAACAGCTCTGGGTTTGTTTGTGTTAGGGCTGATTGTCTTGCCTTTCATCGGTGAAAGTCAGAAATGGCTGGACAGAAGTCAGTGGAGCAACAACAATGTAAGGCCACTTTAAGCTGGGGGAGAATTTGGGCATCTCTTTTATGGCCAGAATCATGAAGCGCTTCACAGGGAAGAAAGAAGACCTCAAAAGGGACACCCACAGACAGCATACTTGCAAATCTTCTGAGATGAAGGATTCATGTCCTGTTCTCCAACAGCATATTCACTCCTCTTCCAGTGAGTAGCTTTGCTTCCAACAACCATGCTGTCCCAGGCACTGACCCATCCGCGCCTCTGTTTCTTCGGGCCCTTTCTTCACTGACTGAGCCCTGGCAAGCTCCCAGTGCCTTCCTGGAACCAAGGGACCAGTCTGGTCTGCTACAAAGCACCCATAAAGGTTGTTCCTGGGGAAAGATATTTCATTGCTGCTCATGCTCCTGAGTGGGTAGTCCAGGATCCTTAACACATTTCTGCAGTAAGCCATGTGGCAATGTCATTTATCACAGCTCCTCTCACAAAACCATGTTCCCAGGGCCTGGGTGGCTCAGAGTTTTGGCATGGGATGTAGAGTCTTTGATCATACGAATCAGGGCAGTTAGCAGAATCCAGCTATTTAGACTTCCTTGGGGAATAAGCAGAGGGCTCTGTTCAATTTCCCATCACCAGCTATTCCCTTCACCCCCCAAATCAGAAAATCTGGAAGACAGCAGGATTCAGCAGATTCAGCACCAGGTCAAAGACATTGATGGGAGCTCCATAAACATACTGAACTCCTGTCAGTGTCTGCTCTATGCTCCTGGCTAGAGGGAAGATAAGGGAGGACTTTCAGGAAGACAGCTGAGCTTGTGACTGATGATCCCTCTTACCTCGTCCCAGCCGTGTGGTGCCACCTGCTTGTGTGGACATGCTCACGTAGTCTCCTCCTTCCTTCCAGCTGCAGGTGCTTGACATTTACCTGGTACTGTCCCAGTCTTGCCTGACTCTACTGTGACCCAACTCAGCCTCCTCAGCTGGGAGAAGAATCTGCCGTTTTAGTTTTCCACCATTTCAGCACGGAAGTTAGTCCAATAACTGTGAAAATGATACTAAGAAGAGAGAGATCATTTGGACAGAAGCAGGGGGAGGAGAGAGAAAGAGACTTCTCCCTTTCAGAGACAGCAGCGTTGTTTTGCTGGCTCAGCTGTCCCTAGGTCCACAGGCTTCATTGCTGTTCAGAGGGATCCACGTATGGACAAAAGGAATTCTCCCCCCTCAGATTATGGCAGCATTACAGCAGTGCGGCCAGGGATGCCAAAGTGAAGAAGCCTTTGGCTTCCTCATTTCTTGGCATTTCACAGGACACACCTCAGCTTTAACCTCAGGTCAGATCTGTCACAAAACCCACCTCTGCTCAGATCTCTCATGTCAACTGCTCTGAAGCAGTTTTATGCCTGCTTGACCACAACCGTCCACAGAGATGTTACACCCTTATCTAAATAGGTACCTGAGACGATATTTGGAAGGAAAGACGACACCAGTGTGCCACCATTGATCTGAGCACATCTCACTGCTAACCCTGGTCTGCCAAGCCATCTTCTTTCTCCATCTGTCCTCCAGATGCCTGCACACACAGAGTATTTGACATGGCTCCCCATCTTTCAGGAAGTTAGCAAGACCAAGTTAATTTTACTGCTGACTGAACTTGGCCTTGCTGAGTAGACTCCTGGACTAGGTTTTCACAGCTGTGATAAAGGCATGGGGAAGAGGGAAAGAAAAGCCTTGTGCAGAGACAGATACCCTTCATGTGTGGAGGAAATTTCTGCCTTTTGTTCTGCCAGCTGGAATACTTTCCCCAAAGAAAGGCAGAAGCCTGACCACTATGGACTGCTGCAATTGGGATGAACAACATCTGGGAGAAAATACCTCAGGGAGCAGCTCTGCACCGTCCAAGTCAGGTGTGATCCTGACTGTCTCCATCAAGCATAACTTCCCTGAAGTCAGTGGAGCGCACCTGTACACAAGCTGTCATGCTAGGATTCCCTCCGGCTTTCGCAATGGAGAGGTCAATAACTTTCACCAGACTTCCACTCATGCGTAAAATAGGGAAACAGCAAGTCCAAAGATTTAGACAAACATTAGACATTAAAGATTTTGCTGATGCCAAAAGGTAAGTGTAACAGAACAGCAATAATATTAATGAAGCAACATACACCTGCTTGGTTTCAATATTTGGGAAAAAAAGAAAAGCATTTAGCATTGCCTGTGGATAAAAGAGGAAATCAGGATCATGCTTCTGCATGTATTGTATTCTGCACATGTATTTAGCAAGTCATTATAATTGTTTATAGAATTTGTTTAGGCTTCTAAATTTATACTTGATTTCTTCTCTGTTTCACAGGAAGCAAAACTGCTAAGATGACAGGATGTAAGGCCAGAGAAGCAGAATCACATCGGTTGAAAGCCACAGCATGGTACTTGAGAACTTTAGCCAAAGGTGATAATCTCACGAGCGGTCACACTGTCTATTAATGCAGCATGAATATGCAGGGAAAGAAACATTAAAACATGTAATCTACAGTATGATCCTCTGCACTGAAGGGTAGGATGTCAGCCACATAAAAAAAGAAACAACTTGAACAGAATGAGCTTGGCCCTCAAGGCTTGTCACACCTGAGTCATCACTAATAGTCATCATCACTAATAATAAGCAGGAAAAAAGCAAGGAATACATGAGTACACAGGTAGGTCACTGTTATTTTATTGGCTCCGAGAAGCTCCACCAGGAAAACCAGGATGCAAGTATTTGCTCTAGCTGAGCATAGTGGCAAACATCTGGATTTCAGCACCAACACTGGGAATATTAATTCCTCGCACTAAGCACGGTCTGAGTATTTCCCAGTTTTATTAAACCACAGAACACAACAGCCTGTTTGAAAAAGTATCCCAAAGTATTTTGGGAACTTCCTACTGCAAGAGGAAGGGGACAAACAGGAAGAACTTGTATTCCTCTGGTATTAGTATTCGTCCCATTGCCACTTGCCCAGCAATTGCTATGGGGCTGGCCGGCAGTCCTGGGATTCCAGAGCATCCTTATCATGGCTGGGAGGGGAAGGAAGGAACAAGCAGGGGATGCAGAGGCTCTGGGGCCTGGAGACGGGAATCTCAGGTATCTGATGTCTTGGTCTTCCAAATAATTTTTAGTTAGTTTGTTTAACTGGTATAATCCTTAATTAGTCTTGCTGAGTTCAGAATGACTACTCACCTGCTTCGAGATACAGGCACAGTTCAAAAGTTTTCAAGACCAGGGCCTACCCTGCTAGATTTTGAAAGCTAGAGCCAAGAAGTAGCTGGAAAGGGCTCTGAGAGAATTATTCCTACATGACAGATATATTTATTTAACCTGTTTTTTCCCCAGTCATTGAAGACTGCTATCTGCTTGCTGGATCTGGTGGCTGAGGCATTTGGCTTGCCTGTCTTTTTGTGCGGTAGTTATGTACTGGCAAGAGATGAGATGTGCTCCAGCTTCAGCTTCCTTGAGCAGCAACAACCCTTTATCTAAACCTGGTCTCGTATGGAAAGTTTCCATGTGGCAAAAGTCACTTTCCGGCTCCACCTGACACACAGATCCTCTGAGAGGTGTCACCCCCTCAAGCAGAGCCTGAGAGGGTGGGGGGCACGCAAAGACCTGATGAGTGGCAGGACAGTGCCCTTCCAGCCCAGCTGCTTGCTTCCCTTGTGAGCCAAAAGAGCCTGCTTATGGCTATTTTCGGAAAATGTTAGGAGGGCCATATGATGGAGGCTTGTTTTTTTTTCTACATACATGGCACTAACATTTCCCAAGGCTGCCTTGGGCCACAGATGTCAATGGTCCAAAAATTGGGAAAGGCGGATTCTGTGAGCCTCTCGTTGGCTTTGTCTTAACTGCCCTCTTCTTGCTGACACCAGGACCCTGCTATTGCACAGAAACAATGATGCTCCCCCTATCACCTTACTCAGATGGGTGTGTGGAAATTACCATTTGTGGGTACTCCAGGCACTTTAGATGTGGGTTGATAGCCAAGAGCTTGGCTTGCAGAGCAGAATCAATGTACGTGGTTTGGGGAACCCACCTATCTGTCCCACCTCTCTCTGCAAGAAAGGGTTCGTTTCCATTGCAGGCCACACCACCATCTTCCTGTCCACACTTCAAACTCTGAGCCAGGCCTGAGCTCTGTTTTGCCCAGACCCCAAAGCCTGTGGGCCCCTTGAGGGTCAAAGCAGTGGGATGAGGATTAATCTCAGAATAACGTGAGCTTGGTGTGACCCTGGTGTGACCGTCGTCCTTCAGTGGAAGGAGGACTAGATGCTCACACAGAAAGCCAGTGGATGTAGCTCTGGCGAATGATGCAGAGCTGGCTTGTGGTTCCTTATTTTTCAGCTCCCAAGGAGAGCAGTTGATTTTCTAGGTAACGGTTGTATCTCTTTCCACAGGAACAGTGGAGTTGCCCATCCAGGTCAGATGCCTAGCCCCTCCTCTTGCCAGAAAGGCCTTGTAATGTGCAGGTATGGCTCCCTTGTCCCCACACTGATGGCTTAACCTTAATTCTGAAGAGAAAACATCCTCTATAACCCTTGTGTATCTTGTCTATTGTAGCTTTCGATGTTTTCATTATTGATATAAACATTAAGTTCCTGCAGTGTCTCCAAAATATTGGCCTCAGGACAGATTGCCACCCGTGCCTTATATTGAGGTCAGACTGTATGTCCACTTCTCCGTTTGTTATTATTTGCGCACTTTGGGCATGCTAGCTCTGTCTGAGGTGATGGAAGTCAGGCAAAAATGTTACCGGAACCCAAGGAGAGGAACATCTTCCTGTGAAATCTGCTCTATCCAGGAGGCAGGTCCTACCAGGAGGCCTTAATGAAGCCACTGGAAAGGGAGAGTGCAAACTCACTGGCTTGGGGTTACTACCAGCCGCTGCCCCGGGAAGGTGGAAGGAGAACCCAGCTTTTCAGCCTGCCAGCCCAGAGCAGGGCGGGAGGTGGGTTGCTGGCAGGCTCCTGCTGGGGGTCTTAGCACCGGGAGCCACCCGGACCACACACAGCTATCCCGGGATAACCAAGGCCTTTCTCCGAATGTGCCCAAAGCCCCACCGCAGCCAGAGCAAACACCATCCTAAACACAGGGAGCAGACAGGGCGCCCCCGCCCTGGCCACAGCGTCGGGGAGCAGCAAGGGGCCCAGCACCCCAGGCACCCTCCTCCTCCTCCTCCTGTCACCGGCCCTAACCCTGCCCTTTTCCCAGGGGACCGGCAGCCGGAGGGGCGCCGTGCCGCGCCGCGCCGTGCCGTGCGGGACAAGGC